TGGTTGAAGGAACTGCCTCCAGCCATTCCACTTGCCTGCCTCGCAAGTTCATGCCCGCTGTTTGCAGAGGGATCTGTTCCCTGCCTGGCCTTTTCCGCTGGGCCTGCCTGAGTACTCTCCTGATAGGGTGACTGGCGTTGCACAAAGCGGATGATCCAAGAGAGAGGCTGAAGCTGGAAATCATTCCTCATCTCTACCATACACCATGTTTGTTAGAAGTGAGTAGCTAAGTAAAGCTTATATTCAAGGGGGAAGGGAATAAAAATTGAACACTATTAAAAGAATTGTGAATGTATTTTAAAACTGCCACATAGGCTTTTTTAATTAAATCTATACTCCCTCCCTAGGTTATCTTATCTACTGCTCTGGTTTTAAGTACTATTTTAAAATTTTCAGATTTACTAAGATCTCTCTTCTGAGTCATTGACTTATGTTCAATTTCCTTCCAGATTTTGTTCATGGCCCTACAGTCTAACCATCTGTATATGCCAGAAACCTGGTAGTCATCCTTGTCACCCTCTCTTTTATTCTTCATGTTCAACCAATCATCAAATCATGCAAGTTTTTGTTCCTAAAGATAGAACAAATATGTTCTCTGTCATTATCCATTTAAAGCAACCATCTTGTCTTTACTGCGACAAAATAGCTTCTAATTTGCATGTCCTCATCCATGCTTTTAAAAGTAGATTTAATTTTGTTTAAATGCACTGGAGTTGGGGTAAACAAAGTATAAAAGTAAGGAAATGGAAAATAAATACAAATACAAGCTGTTTTGTATATTTTTTTATATTTAGAACAAGCAAACATATAGGGCAGGCTGAAGATTTCAGTCCCTGCTAAATGGAGATTAGGCTGCGGCCCTTAATTTTTGAGTGGATCCTTGAGTATGTAGAATAATCCATGAAATAACCAGATTTGAACACTACATTAAAGGCTTGGCATATATAATAGCCTTGATTTGTTTGTCCTCAGTTCCCTCCTCTCAAAGCAGTGGCAGGTGGGTTAGTCCATTTAGCCAAAATCTTCCTCGAAGGGATTCACAGTGCCCGTCTCCATGTGATGTATGTCCAGTGGCTAAATAACAATTTCCTCCAACATTTCTTCAGTGGACCCTGATCCTTCAAGTTCTGCATTCATCTTCCTCTACTCTATAGGCATTCCCTTCACTACTTCAAATTACTACAATCATATTAGCCTATATTCTGTTCCTAAATTCTAGACTTGTGAATACAATGACAATTCAATGTCTGAGTGTTACCCTGATACCTTAAATTCAACATGTTGAACCTGAACAAGCTAACTGGCTGCTTGCCTCTGAGTCTGGTTCAGATGTTTACTTATTCTTACTGGTATTCTTTGTCCTAAAATTCTGTGTCTCAAGTAACACTCCCTTCTTTGAAAGCTGAAAACAAAATATGAGGTTTCAACAACAGAGTGGCTGAGGTCTCAGGAAAGGAGAAGAGAGTGAGAGTGATTTGTGCTGGAACAAGTGAGCAAGAACAGGGAGCTATTTTTCTTGTTATTTCATCCCTGGTCAAGAGAATTTTTTATTAGATGTGTGTTTGACATGAACTTGGGCACTTCGAAGCTTTCAGCCGTCTTTAGCAGAGTAGCTCAGTTTTGTTCACATCCTGTTATTCCATAATGATCAGTGGGTAGTTCCAACGGGCAGCATTCTATCAGAAGGTTATGAGATTTTACATCTAAATCTTTTTAAATTTATTCAGCTAATATCTATTACACTTTGTTCCTTGTTATAACAGATTAACTTCTGGGATAACAATGGGAAGGGAATCTAGAATATGCCTTTATTGCCCCAAATTATTTTTCCATAGTGCAATATCAAGCCTGGCCTGTACACCATACAATACACTATTTCACAGCCTACCCTAAGTTTGAATTGTTGACATTTCCAATATCTTTGTCTTTTCCTCTAATAACCAAAGTCCCTTCATTGTTAGCATGATAAGTGAATGGTTAAAAAAAACAACTTACACATATATTTTCCATTGGACTTTAGTTGTTGATTAAAGCATTTAGCAATATAATTAAACATAATTTAAATAGCTAATTAGTGTTATAGTTTCCAGTAATACATTCCTTTAAACAAAGCATCCATCATTTAGGAATGCAATTTATCACCGAGTCACTGATGCAAATGCAATTATATGTTAAGTGGAAGAAAGCATCCACAAATCAATTATGGTTCTCTGCAAAAAATGCCACATCCATAACTTTTGAATAGTTCTTAGGAGACCAAAAGAGATACATAGAGATTTGGCCTCTGCATTTTAGTTGACTTTGCATCTGTCTAGCGTCTGGTTCTAAATCATATTTTTGACAGTTAAGACCCAGATTAAAGCTATGTCTATGTACATGTTTTGACAAAATTGACTGATGAGTTTAATCAAGCAAATTGTCCACTTAGACAAATGCTTTGACTATATGATTTGCTTATTTGTTTTGTTTCTTCGTTAAATTAACGTGTTTTTTAACTTAATTTAACTGAATTGTTTAACGAAGTATCAATTCAATGTTTAGAAGCAGTTTCATCATGATTTTTAAAATGGTTATACCAGATTTATGAAAACAAATTGTATCTTAGCAAATGCTCAAAATTTTACTGTAAAACATTCTAGAAAATTCTGATTTCAAAGACCTTCTGTTAAAAAGAAAAAAAAACAGAAAACTGAAAACAAAACCCCTGTATAATTTCACTGACTGAAATCATGAAACTGGATTCCCAAGTTGAAACATTTTTATTTTTCAGTGATTCCATTACATAAGTTAATTAAAATGTCTTTATCCATGTAAATAGAATCTCAATATTGAAAAGAACTTATGTTTAATCAACCATCTAATTTCTGAATGATAGATAAGGATAGCTTATTTTAAAGAACAATAGAAAAGCATATTTCAGAAATTCAGTGTCTCTCCATTTTGACAATATCCCATCAAAATGTTGACTCTAAATCAAACTTTAAAAACAATGTTACAACCGATGTCTAATAATGTTATTTCTTCTTGATTAATGCTGTGCACATGATAGATTCTTCTGTGTGTACATGCATGTGTGTGTGTGAGAGAGCAATAGAGAGAGAGAGAGAACAGGAATATGTTGAATGACAACCAGAATGGAATTAACTGTGTAGTGCAGAAATTTAACTGACCTGCTCAGAAATTATGCATAGAGTCTATGGTACAGTTATAGGTATTCCAAAATATTGCACAATTGAGGTAAAAACTAATGTCATTCTCAAGTTTGAAATAATAGGTTTTTCAGTTTCTTGCATTTTGACTTCTTTTCCTTTCACATTTCTTGCTTAGTAAAAAAGCTGCAGGGAACGTTGTATTATTTATTTAAATACATGTTCTTTTTGTATGTGTACATGAGTGAATGTATCAGCTAGCAATGCAAATTTTTAGCTACCATGTGTATATCTCTAATTAATTATTTTATGTGGAAATCAATTTATTACATGGTTAATAAACAATTTAAAATTTCAATTATATGCTTTAAAATAAAGACTCGTTCAGTTTTGACATGTTAATATTTCACTTTCTTCCATTAATTTACTGATCATGTTCACAATCTTGGAGTGGGGGACTATTAAACTTGATGTGAAAAGATAGTTTTCTGCATAAAAATTAAATATATATATATTCAGCAAACATCTAAAACCAAAGAACAAACTAGAAAATCATATTTTCCACAAACATAAAGGGCAGATTTTCAATTTTCTTGTTTTACAAAGAACTTTTACAATAGCAATAAATGTGAGCAAGCAATTAAAAAAAAGGATAAATAAACATATGGAAATATATTCGACTATACAAATAAAATAGTGAAAGCAAAATAAAGATATATATAATTCTTTGTCTATCATATTGGCAGCATTTAAAGAAATTGGTAATATATAGTTTTGAAAATAAAACTATGCTTGTGGAAGTGTACAATATTTTAGAGATTTTTGGACATCTAGTTGTTGATATTTGCCAAACCTGAAATATATTTCTCCCTCAATCCATCAATTTCATTTATAGAAATGCACCATAAATTATATTTGGATAGTCATGTTTTTCAAAATAGTATAGCCAAGGTACACAGATGTGTTTATACTTCTTACCGTATTTATGACTTAAAAACACACCACTATTCTTAAATGTCCATTAACATCACACAATGTGGCCATTAAACATGAGGGGAGTACAAACAGAAATTGAAATATTTCCATTAAATTAATAAATAAAATTATTATCAAACAGTATGCATGCATAGTGTGATATTATCTGAGTAAAATAAAAAGGATAGAAGGAAATACATATGTCTATTTGTTTTTTCTGTTGGAAGTTGTAATAGGAATATCACCACAGTAACTAGTTATTTCTTGACAGTAGAGGAAAGGTGTGTGGAAGAAGCTAAAGGAAAATTGAATTTTTCTCCCTATAAACTTGTATTTTTAAAAATAAAGAACATACATTAGCTCTATAATTAAGTCACAAAGTATACCGATTTGTTAGTTATCACTAAGAACAAGGAAACTATGTTTTAAAATTGAAATGGAATTATATATAAACTCAACACAGTGCAAATTTTTGGTAGTGGTTTCCATAAAAAAACCCAACAAAATAAAACTCACCCATAATACCCTGAGGTTTATCGTAGAATCTCATTCTACAAACTGGATGGTATTTCCATATGGTCTTTACCTAATATATCTGCTACAGTTTTCGAAATCCAGAATGTTTTTATCCATTTTTAAGAAAAAAAATAAAATGACTGTACTAGGTAAGTTTCTAAGAAACAATTGTTATTGTTAGATTTTTAAAAACCTCTAAAGTTACTGAAGTGAGAGAGATTCTGTTTTAGTTAAAATTATGAATAGCAAAAGCTTTATTTCTTGGTATTAGTTCACCCAACACACTGGAAAAGCAAACACATGGCTTTTCCTTTATATGTAAGAGGAATGACTTATTTTTCTTCCCTTCCCTTCCTGTAGCTTTCAGCCGGGCCCCGATTCCAATGGCTGTGGTCCGCAGGGAGCTCTCCTGTGAGAGCTACCCCATTGAGCTCCGCTGCCCAGGAACAGACGTCATCATGATTGAGAGTGCCAACTATGGGAGGACTGATGACAAAATCTGTGACTCTGACCCTGCTCAGATGGAGAATATACGATGCTACCTGCCGGATGCCTATAAGATTATGTCTCAAAGGTATGATACTTCTAATATTCTCCCCTTGTACATTTAATATAAATGCTCAGCATGCATCTGTGTGTGACATATTAAGCATATGTAAGAACATAAATAGTATTGTCTATAGGATAATTTAAACTGTTGTCAATATCATACTATTCTACATATCACTAAATGCTAGTATTTGAAATTGAAAATAGCACTTTTAAATTATGAAAATTTATTACATTATTTATTTTCATTGTCTACTGAGTTCTCTAGAACTGGATTCATTGGATGAGAAACTAAATTTATTTGTCAGTTTTCAAAACAGAATTTTGTAAATTTCTTCAGAAGTCACAGAAAAATGATTTTACTGTTAACAGTTATTTTCTTCCAGTGTAGGAAAAAAGGAATAGAAATTAAATTAACAAGCAATTTTTATAATCATTAATCCAAATATAGTAACTGACTATTGATTGATGAGTATTTGGCCTTGGAACAAAATGAAAAAAAGTATTCCATTGTCTCTAGTATATAAATGAATTCACTGAATACATTTAAGCTACCTAAAATATTACCATATTAGAATAATATACGTAAAGGTACCATATAATATTATTGGATAAGAAAAAAGATCTTCAGTTCTAAAAAGAATAGTAATAATCCATACTATTGAAGGTTTAAGTTATAAAATTCATTGATAAATGGCTAAATATTAAATCGCTCTTAAATATTTGTTCACTATTACTGTGATTTCTCAGAAGTCATTTATAAAATCATTCAATTACTATCAGCCTTCATACTTTCTGACTACTTGTTTGCAATATAATTTTTAAATAAAAACTAAGTCATTTATTTAGTGAATTTGCTTTTTCATTAGGGTTTCTGTTTAGGCATTTCTTTCCTCCTATTCAAGATTTCTTAAGATATGGGAGAAATCATACACATGTAAAAATAAACAATTGAAATATGAAAGCAAAACCAGTGGATATCAAAAATTATCTCTCTGTGCTTGAGAAAGCCTAGTTTTTTTAACCTTTTGTCTTCTTGATACTTAAAATTCTGATATACATTTGTGTTTTATTAATAAATTGACATAGTGTCCTATTTTCATAAATTGCTGTTGTATAAATTATTAATAAAAATGATAACTCACCAGGTGGTTGATGGTCAAAGCATCTGAGGTGTACTTGAAGGATAAAGTTCTCTCTGGGCAAATCTAAGGGCTTTTGTTCATCTATTTCTCAAATGCTGGTATTTGCTAAAGTGGGTAATAATGAGAAATAAGATTTTAGAATTAGAGATTTCATTTGATATGAGCTTGGCTACATTTGGTTCTTTTTGTGTGTGTCTCTCATTGTTACATATTTGATACCTCCAACTATGGTTAAATTCTCTGATGATATGTCTAAAAGAAGTCTGATTCATTGCCTGCAAATGCTGTTGTAATGGGCTTTCAGGAATGGTTTTCCATGAGTAGTGTGGAATGGGCACTGTAACTAAATTGTTTTTTTTTGTTTCTGTCAGACCATCAAACATGGGATTCTTTAGAATCCATCTGAGGAGGAGATTCTGCCTCTCTGTAAATATGTTTTATTTCAAAATGTAGCAGAAACATTAACTTTCCTAGCTTTTTGATCTCTATATGATTTTCATTGAAATTCTTTTAATTCTTTCATCTGTATTATTAATGGTTCCCAAAATAAGCCCTTAATCTTATAATTATTGCCAAAAAAATAGTTACAGTGGGTCCTCTGGAGCTACTGAATTACATGGGATGCATCTCTAAAGTTGACAGATTTTCTGGGTAAAATTGCTTTAAGCACCCTGAGTAAATCGTCTGTGGAGGCCCTCCTGGTGGGTTCTCAAGTAAGGATTATCAGTTAGGTAAAATAGCCATAGTTAATTCTCCACAGAGGCAAGTTCCTTGCTTGTATTTGGACTGTTAAATGACCACATTTATACGTGTCCAAAACAAATGCTTTTGACTCTTGAAGAGAAGGAATCAGGTTACATATTGTAAGCTTGCAAGAGATAAGATGGTCATGTCCACTTAGGCTGCTCTATAATTCATGAATTTTCACTATTCTGCCAATGACAGCATGTTCAATAATGCTAATAGTTACTAGCTATAATATGGGTGTATCATACTAATAATGACATGGACAGCTTAAACAATGCATTTGAATTAAAATCATAATGGGAACATCTTTTTTAAGAGGTATCTTGGATTAATTATTGTCAGTTCTTTCATTTAAACTTCTGGAAAGACACTGCATTAGAGTCTAAACATTTTTAAGCATGTCTCTAGATGGGAGGATTATTAGTAAATACAAAAATACATTTTGAGTGTTTTTGCAAAGCAGTGTTAAAAGACTTCATAACTTGCTTCAGCCTCATAAATTAGATCTCAGAGGGAAGGACAGACATGAAATGTTATTCATGTGGTATTTAAATACACATTGAACAAATGTATGGATAACACTATAAACTAGCATGTTAGTTAAATACGAAACATGGGGAACTTGAGTTGAAGAGGACATGCGACTTGATTTGCATGTTTTTCCCTAGTGGAACTATGCAGTCTGCTATCTGCTCTAGGGAAGCCCATTTCCTCATGGACTTTCAGATTTATGGTCTCAAATCCAAGTATATTCTTATGCCATTCCACCCCTACCCCTTCAAAATGTTCTGTGCTTTTTCTCTTTTTCATTAGTCTACAAGAAGCCTTGTTAAAATGTCAAAACACATGTATTTATCTTTCTCAGAATTTCTAATCTCATTCACTTATTATCATCTACTTCCCTCTTTATTGAATCTAAATAATAGTAAAGCTATTTTATCACACTTTAGACAGTCGGCATGTCTAAAGTAAACTGTAGTCTTCCAGAGGGCAGACTTTCTGTTGATTTTTACCTGAAACTAACTTTTGATGTGTAAGATGTGTAAATAAATAAGATCTCCAATTTTGTCATGACAATGAAAAGCGTTCTTAATTATTATCTCAGTGATGTGTATTTCTTTTCATTTCATGTTTACACACTTCGGAGAGTTTAAAATAAGTACACATAGCTTTGGAATCTAAATGTAAAAATGACTGTTGGTAACTGATGGCTGCAGAAATTTTACCTTTTGAATTCATCTGAGGTTTCATGTCATCTTCAGCCATTAATGCAAATATTTCCATTTTTAAGTTTGCGAACACTTGAAAGTCCGTAACATGCATTTCACTATGACAATTACCATGGAGTTCAATGGATAAATGTAAGGCATGGATCTTGCCCACAAACCTCTAGTTTTTTGGCAGTTAAAAACAATGATATCATGCTCAATATTTAATCTTATTTAAATTTACTGAGTGCAAAAGAGAAGTGAAACTCTTTCAGCTGAATGCTATTAAAGAGTATTCATCAGAGAGAAGCATTAAGCTGGTCCTTGCAGGATGGCAGCATTAGTGGAATCAGAAGAGACAGAAGTGATATTATATATATATAATCAGGTGAACACCATAAGAGAGAACAGCTTACCTTCAATAAACCTTCACCCATCCTTTTCTGTCATGGCTTCCCAGGCTAACTGGGGTTTGCTGTGCACTGTTTAGTTGCTTCTAAAGGCCTCTTCTAAATGTGCCACTTCTTGAGGCCAGCCCTCGCCACCAATCCTCCCCACAGATCTGCTGCACATGGTCTTAAGAAACCTTGATAATTCAGTGAAAAACTAGTTTGATGCTGTTTTCTTGTCAGTAAAAATTCCTATTGGACTCCATACAAATTAGACATTAATTCCATGTAAATGTGGGAAGTATAAACATCATGTATTATGACATATTCATTTTAGCCTCTTATCACACATATTTTATATATGTGCTATAACAGACTTATTTTCCATAGAATTGCCTGTTTTTCAAACTGAAATTTTTGAACATCATATGTATATGAATATGATGTACATTGATTGAAGTATACACATAGAAAATTGTACATATCATGAAGTATACAATCAATGAATTTTTACAAACCAAGCTCTTGTTACTAACAAACAGATGAAGATACAGAACATTACGGTACTCAGACATGCCCTCTTGTACTCTGTACCAGCTATACTCCCCCATCCTCATTCACTAAGGATTTCCACTATGCGCCTCCTAACACCTTAAATTAGTTTTGCCCATTTTGTAATTTAAGTAAATGGATTTATATATTACATGTTTTTAATATACGTTTTCTCTCATTCAATGCATTCATTATTTTAAAAAACTTTATTGAATAATTTTAATATGCCATATAATTCACCCATTTAAAGTATACAGTGATTTGTTTTTTAGTGAATTTACCAAGTGGTGCAACAGTTGTCACCATTAATTAGTTTTAGAATATTGTCATCACCACAGTAAAATTCTGCATTGCCGTTATCGTCAGTCTCTATTTTCTTCCCCAACCCATGCAGCTACGAAGCTATTTTCTGTTTATATGTCCATCCTTGATGCATTATTTTTTAAACTAAAAATGAATATTTGAAATCAAGTTATATTTGGTGGTTGTTTCAGTGGGAAGGATACTGAAGAAACACTAGCAGTTATTTCTGAAGGCATGGACATAAATATGCTGCTTGTGTTTTGAATTTTCTTAGAATCATGAATCTAGACATTTAAAAAATACCCTCTTTAGAGTTATCTACCAACTAGAGATACAAAATGTATAAAGTGTATTTTTCTATTTAAGTGAGTGATCTAAGTTTTACTTTAAATCTAGCACTATTCGCAATATTACATTTTTACATGCCATAGTCACATCAGGAACATGCCAAAAAAGTGAGCAGCAGAAGGAGAAAGAGAATTATTTCTCACCTTTCTGAGGAAGTTGTATTTCAGTTTATATCAGTACCACTGGAGGGGCTTTTACAGCTCTCAAAAAGATTATGGTTTTTGTTATATTCCGTCCCGGTGAAGTTTAGAACTCTTTCCATAACAGTAGAAGAAGAAATGTCGCTGAAAGGGTTGCTGTGTGCATAGCTGAGTCCTTCAGTAACTGTGCGTA